CCCGCCCCCACCCCGCCTGCGTGTCACTTGCTCTTCCCCCTTGTTCCCTCCCACCGGCTCAAGCCCGAGCCAATCAGCGCCACCCTCCCTGTCGGCCCCTCCGCCTCACGCTCCCCTCCCTCACCTTCCCCAGCGACGGCTCTCTTCCCGGCACCGCACACCACGACGACGGCCAGGGTCCAACGGCTGCGCCTCTCTCGCTCGCTCTCCCTCTCGTTCTGTCTCCCCCGCACCCCTCACCTCGCTCACTCCTCAGCCGCCAGCTACACGCCGGAACTACGTAGATCTCCTCCCGCCGCTACTTCCGGTGGGAGGGTGGGGAAAGAGGAGAAGCCGCTACGTTGGCTGCCGGGCCGCGCGCTACGTGTCCAGCGGACGCTGCAGTGACGACAGCGGTGACATCCCAACCCCGCCCCCTGGGCGGCCCGTGTGGGTTGAAAGGAAGGTATAAAGGGAGAAGAAGAGAGGACGGTGAGGCGGCTGCTCCTTTTTATCCGGCCGTTCTTCCAAGGCGCTCCGGGCGATGGCCGCGGCTCCCCCCCCCGTTTTACCCTCACAAGGCTGTGAGGTCGGTTAGTCTGAAAGAGGGTGGCAGAAGCGGGGAAAGGACGGCTTTGCAGCGTGAACTCTGCGGCATTATACGGTGATGAGGTCCCTCCCCTTCCCTGGCTCCACTCTTGGGTCTCTAGGAATGCCCCAACCCAGAGTTGGCAACCGCATCCGAGCCCAGAGACTAGATGCCGTCTGATGAAAGTGGGCTCCATTCATCCACAGAAGCCAGCACTAGACTATTCAACTGAGGAAAGCATTACTTAGTGGATTCACTCTTCCAGGACATTCAATGGGTGACCGCAAAGTAGCTGCTTTATTGCAAAGGAACTTCAGGAACAGACTAGAAAGGCAAATTGCTGTTGTAAATAATTACAGCACACAGAACAATGGAATCCCCAGGACTTAGCAGGGATATTGGCTTCTTATCTCACTACATATGCTAACCTCATTCAGACTTCACATCAGTATTCTCACCAGTCCCCCAGAAGGGCTATACGTCCTCTTTATTTTATTTCTTATTTGGAATAATAGATTAGAATAGTAGATTGTAATGTAACATAATGAATAGTAGAATGCAGTGTAATCTGGAATCGTAGATGGGAATGTATATATCTGGTCTGCGGACAGATTACACAGCCAATCACTCCACTTCAAAGAAGAGGATGCTGTAAGGTTGCTTCCATGCTTGAGAGGAGATGGATGGAGCGTAATGGCAGGGACTCAGTTAATTACTCTCAGCATTCTACAATTAATGATACATCTGCCCATCAATCTTGTTTTGACATTTCCTTCACTGTGTCCCCCCCCTAATTAAACCCAAACAAATGGTAACCATATAAACTAAGCTTGTTATTCCACTTTCGTCCTTGAATCTGTTAAGCATCTTCATTATGCTGTAAGCTAATTTACTGCTCATCCTCCACTTACATACATGGACTAGTAATTTCCATTTCTGAAGTATGCATGCCCACAAAAGCTTACACCTTGAATAAAACTTTTTTGGTCTTAAAGGTGTCACTGGACTCAAACTTTATTCTTTTAGTGGGTTTTCATCTTGCTCTTATAGGACCACTAAGAGGAGATTGGCTTTATACCAGTGTTCCCCCTAAGCTGAGTTAGTGTGAGCTAGCTCACAGTTTTTTAGCCTCCGGCTCACACATTTTTGTCGTAGCTCAGGAAAGATGGCTCCAGAGCATACTACTTTATGCAGCAGCCAAATCGCTTGCTCACAACTTTAATGCCAGTAGCTCACAAAGTAGGATTTTTGCTCACAGGACTCCATAGCTTAAAGGGAGCATTGCTTTATACCCCGCCCTTCAGTACCTGAAGGACTCTGAGTGGTTTACGATCCCTTTCCCTTCCTCTCCCCACAACAGACACCCTGTGAGGTAGGTGGGGCTGAGAGAGCTCTCTCAAGAACTGCCCTTGAGAGAACAGCGCTGTAAGAATTTATGACTAACCCAACATCACACCAGCAGCTGCATGTGGAGAAGTGGGGAATCAAACCTGGTTCTTCCAGATTAGAGTCCGCACTCCTAACCACTACACCAAACCACAGAAGAGTCCAGGCAACTCTGGACATGTGCTGAAAATATTGCTTTGAAATCAGTAGCATTTCTCACTAAACTGAGCCAGGATCTCACTGTATTGTTTTGTCTAATTTGGTTCATTTTTAAGAATACTAGTGACCATTTGCACTAATAAAACCTATATGATGTTACAGCTGTGACAGTTTAAAAAAGAAAAGCAGCACTGTTCTCTCTTGTTAGTGCATATTTATCTTGTCCACAGAGTTCTGGACAGTATACATCATTCTGATTCTCATTTTATCCTCACAACGCTGTGAGGTTGATAAAGGGAGAGAAAGTCACTCAGTGATGGCAAAATGCAGATTTGAACCTGGATCATCCTAATCCCAACATTCGAATTACAATGCCATGCTGCTTTCCTTTGCTTAGTCACTAGTGGTGAACAAACACCTTTAGGTTTCACAACAGTTATGGAAGTACCAATATCGAATGAGTGAGTCATGTGTGATCCATGTCCTTATGGAACTTTGTATCTATTGTATGAAAGTGTGTTTTGTAATAAGGGCACATTTCCCAACACCACTATTGGGCTACATTATGTATCAGACCATATTCCAAAACAGTAGTTTCTAGCATAACATGATGAAAATCAAGGGTCTTCAAAGGTAATGAGAATCTAAAAGCAGGTTGTATACATAAATGCTCTGTTATATGGACTCTGCTTCCTCTATTTCCCCCCCATATTTCTGCCTCGTTAGGGACACCAAGACATCCCTAAATCAATATATCATATAAAATAGGCCTCTTGAGCCTCAGAGTTATGGAAATAGTCAGCATGTATCGTCTATAACAGAGGCATGTACCATAAACTGCATATCAGTATGCTGCAGTCCCAAAATTCTCTAAAAATGCTTTTTAATGTGGAACAATATCTGTCAAGAAAGTGAATTGTACAGCATGAGGAGTTGGTTGAGTTTGAATCCTACCTTTTTAATTGTACCTGAAAATTAAGGATAGTGGAGACAGTGGATGCTGGAACAGGTATAATCATGTCCACTGAATGACACCCTTGTCAAGAAGGAGTCTGCCACTTCCTGCAGACAGTGCCGTGTAATTGGAAGTTTGGCTGTCAAACTGGGCAGAGTTGCCATCCAGGCAAACAGTATCAGGCAGCTAAGACTTTTACTATGCAGATGCAGGGAAGAACAACTGCCTGTTGGGATCCTGCCACTCAACTGCAATTTTCCAGTTTGTTACTGTAAGTTTGGGAGATCGTATCTTCAGTCTTTTTTTTTCACTTTATGGAGACCTCAAACAGGCAGGGCATTTCCACGCAAAGGATTGTGGTGATCAAGCAGATGTTAGAAACCTCAATAATTATCACGGTTAAATATCTGGAAGAAATGGCCAAAGGCTTTCTCTTTAGATGGGGTGTGTGTGTATGTCAGCCACCTCAGAATTCATACAGTTCTTTTTCTTCAGACATACTTAACAGCCATGTGAAGTAAACAGTGAGAAACTGTTCCTATTTTTATATCTTATGTTGAATCAAGAAAATATAGCTAGTTGTTAAAGATTATATGGAAATTGTTTTCCTGAGCTCTGTCAGTCAGCTCTACATGAGCTTGAGCCAATTAACTGGGAGCATCTGAGGTTGCAGTGCAGAAGCAAAGTGTGGCTCTGACCCATCCTTTTGATGGGGACCACTGCAAATCCTATAGCACATTTAGCATGAACACATCTCAGTTCTGCTCTACTGATCATACCACTTTTGCTGACCTTTCCCAGTTTCACAAGTACTTTAATTACAGAGAAAAGAAAGAGTATAAAAGAGGAGGTCCAGATTCATTTTCCTGGGGATCCACGTTCAGAGATGTTGATTTATCACAATGAAGACAGAAAACACCAAATGAGTTTCAAAAGAAATTATTTTACTGGTACCCAATATTTTACTGGTATCTTCACTGATTACTCATATCCAGGAAGCAACAGATATGGGTGTGTTTGTACACAATTAATGCCATGATACTTAACCAAAGACTGTCAAGCTGATAGTTTACAAAACTACTGCTCCGATTCTGTAGGACCTGGATACACTTTGAGCACACAGAGTTAAGTATGCAACATCTGTTGTTTCATACGCTGTGCATATTTAGAACATCAGTTTTAATACCAACACTTCATCTAGTTCTGCACAAGTGGCTTCTTGGTAAAAGGACAGCAGCTACGGCAACATCTGGCTTCACGTCACTTTTTCTCGTAGTAAAACCACTTGTCCACTGGGGTTGGCGGAAGAGGATGAAGAAAGAAAAATAAATTTAGTATCAACTATAGATCTGAAACATTTGTAAGGTATTGCAGGCCACCAGTGTTCCCTCTAAGTTGAGCGAGTGTGAGCCAGCTCACCGTTTTGTTTTTTTGTCAAAAAGATTTTTTATTTTCCAGTATTCATGCATTTTCCATCTTTATCAATCGACTAGATATTCCATTTTCCCTCCTCCCCCCAAAAGGCTTCCCGCAATTCGTCTCCCTCATGCCCCATATAGTCATTAAATTCAAGATAACATCAAGTACTTAATATTGTTCTAAACATAGTAAATTTTGTTTCACGTCCCAGTTCTTTTCTAGATATATTTTAAAGTCCTTCCATTCTTCAAAGAATTCTTGGTCTTCTTCGTTGTTCAATTTTCTAGCTATTTTATCCATCTCAGCCATGAACAGAACTTTTTGTATCCACTCTTCCAGGTCTGGTATTTTTTCTTGTTTCCAATATTGAGCATATATCATTCTTGCTGTTGTTATCAAATACCAGAACAGTGTCCTCTTTGTTATATTTAGTTCTTCCATTTTTAAACCTAAGAGCAGAATTTCAGGTGCCTTCTTAAAAGAACATTTTAGAATCTTTTGCATTTCACTGTGGACTTTTGTCCAAAAGTCCATAGCTTTATCGCATGTCCACCACATGTGATAAAATGAGCCCTCATGTTTTTTACATTTCCAACATTTGCTAGACATATTCTGATTCATATTTGCTATTTTCTTGGGTGTCATGTACCATCTATACATCATTTTGTAACAGTTTTCTTTTATATTGGTACATACCGATAGTTTCATAGAATTTTTCCACAAATATTCCCATGTTTCTATGGTTACTTCCTTATTCATATTAACTGCCCATTTTATCATTTGCTCTTTTACAGATTCATCCTCCGTAAACCATTTCAACAGTATTTTGTACATATTAGAAACCATTTTCCTCCCCCCACTTTCCCAAACAGTTTCTACTTCATTTCTATCTTCTCTAAAACCATAGTTTTTCTTATCCATTTTAAAAACATCATAAATCTGCATATATTTCAACCATCCATAATTATATTGAATTTCATTCTGCCCTTTCATTACCCATTCTGTTCCTTGC